CGATTGCTAGCAACACCTGCAAACAGCAATGCATGTTACTGATTTTTTAAAACCTAAAAAGTGCATTTTGTGTGGCTGTATTATTTTCATTATATACTAAGGATTAGTTTCTAAAACTTGGTCACATTAAGATAAATACATTTGTTACACATTGTGCATTCATAGAGCTCAAGACAAGCCACACCACCACCATGACCTAACAATACCAGGTTTTAAAGATAAGATTAAATATAGCCAAATAGCTTTCCCTGGAAAAATACCCCAAGAGCATTCTAAACAAATCGGTTAGGGTCAGATTCTTTATTTCCTTGCAATTTTATACTGAAGTGTTATACCATATCCCTACCAGAGCAGGTGACCCCAAGGTCAGGACCTCCAGAAGGAAAGGGCTCTTTAGGAAGGAAACTCAGATGCTTAAGCAAATAACAAGAACATAAAATAATATTTGTTTTGATCAGAAAATATCATTTATTTATATAGGCTCTCAGCCAAGTCACTGCCAAAGAATATTATTTGTTGAATATTATTTGCTTGAACATTTATTCAGAATGATGGACAGACCAGGCAAAATTCTTACCCATCCTATCAGCTTGTCTACCTTAACAAGCAAAATAAGTTCCAGCCTATACCAGCACAAGAAAAAGTTCTATGTGCTTTGCGGACTTGGACAACTGCCCAGGTAACTACACAATGCTTCCCACAGACAACTAAGAACTGTGTGGAAGGAATCCAAGATCTGCTTCAAATCTTTTAGATAACCAAGCATGCCAGACCTTCAGAGCCGAAGGTCTTAAAGTGTATTACACACAGCTCATAGCTTCTATGAGGAGTGACAGCATCTCAGTGAAAGATGTAGCAGCAATAAGAAATCAGAAGTTTCCGTAATAAAAAGACAGCACTGATTTGCTAGCTAAAAAGCTTTCACTACCATGGACCAGGAAAAATAGTATTACAACACTGTGCAACAGCACTGTTATTATTGTTACACTTTCTCATAATAATAGCACTCAGCTGCACTGAGGCATGTCCTTGTTACGGAATGACTGATGCACTATACAGGTAAATGAGGTCACTGGCACACAGTGTTTGCAGTCTAAAATCCCAATGTTGTCTTTATGCATTCTGTGTAGTTCCAAATACTTTATTCACAACGTGGTCTTTTTTCTCCATTCAGCATCAAGGCCTGAGAAAATGAGTGGGGTGAGGGGTGATGGAAACAGTCAACCAAAAATATAATAGCATACCTGCACACTGCAATTTTACTGTTTCAAGTGTGTAATGAAGTTCCCTGACTGACTTCCCACAGGGCGTTAGTTGTTTTCGTGAAGATGCTGCGTCAACAGGTCTTGAGAAGACACGACACCTGTTTGTTTAGCTCTTGCACAGACCACTGTTTTGTGCTAACTCCAGAACAGCATGTTTTAGTTGCTATGAAAGTTATTATAAATCACTACTTATAGTTTATGACAAATATCCCACTGGGGAAAAATCCTGCAACTGCTTGCACGTGACCAAGTTCATCTACATCCCTAAGCTAAAACACAGGTTTCAAAAGTATGCAAGTGATCTGCTAAGGCACATGGGACTCATGCCAATGGATTCTGGGACGTTTGTCACGTTAATTACCTGTTGATTGTGTGCAATTAGCATATTCTAATGATTACAATAATTTCAAAAAATCTAATCTATGGATAAAAACACCCTACAAAGTCTTAACATAAAATGGAAGGCTATTTCACATTCTTTACATATACAGACAGGACTCACAGTATTGTATTCTCCTTCAATTATTTGGTTCCCCTTTGTGGACTTGGCTGTAACTTTCAATCTTCCAGGAGTTCCTGCCTCAATCTGCTCAACCTACAACATTAGGAAAAAAAAAAAAAAAAGGGGGGGGGGGAAGGGGTGTGTGTTTAGTTTCAAATAAAGATGTGCAAATGTATCTGTCCCAACACATATCTTATCATTGAAAATGAGTGTTTAACCATGATCTAAAATTCAATCATTCATTCTTACGATATTTTCACCTTTCTCTAGATTTGTGATTACTACTTGCATGTTTAAACATTTTGGTTTATCTCCATGCATTTACCCTTATGACCAACACAATAAGTCCTCGTTTCAGTTTATAAAAGTTGATTGACAGCTAAGTTCTTGACCAAGCCCACCCACCACGTGAGCTGCTAGTATCAGCTGGGGACAGAGGAGGTGAGGAGGAAGGGAACTCCTGCAAGACCTGGAAACACCATCAGACATTTTCTTCAACCACACCTTGAGGACCATCGTGCCTTCCACCCACAAGTAGCCACAGTCACAGCCCAGCCCTTAGCAGAACAGGCCTTTGCCCTGTTTGAATGGTATCAGTCCAACAGGTAAAGCTGCCATGGCCTTGCAGGAGAGGGCAGCAGTTGGCTCTGAATGGCTGGAAAAACACCAGCAGCTTAAGAAAAAATCCTCTTCAGAGTTTCCCCAGAGTCAGCTGAAATAAATATTCCTAGTTTTAGTTATAGATCCAGCTGCACACTCTCTCTCAAGTAATGCAGCTAGTTACTGCCTATTCCAGCAAAGCAAAAAAAACCCCCAAAATCCAAAGGTGAATCTTTTTGCAACTGTGCTCTTTGTTCAGAGTAATCAAAAAAAAAGGTTTGTTTAAACAAAACAAAACCCAAAATACTCCCCCTTCCACACCCCACCCCTCCATATACCAGAAAACAAAATACAGAAAGAGCAATACGCCCCGCTTTTTTTCCAAACACTCCTTTTTCCTCTGCTAAATAAATCAACTAAACAAGTGAATGGAGTGTGAGGCTACACAGGTGGATTCTCTTTTATCCTCATTAATGTTGACTGGGCTGTGAGGAAAGGACTGGATATCCTCAGCTACAGTCCTTCCCTTACCCTCCCAGGAACAGCACGGTGCCCAGCGGCTTCCCACGGCTGGCTGTACATACAAAGGACGTGTACGTGTGCAACACTTAACTTCACTCTGGGAAATTTTTAGTGTTCATTCTACAGAAGAAAAAGTACTTTTTAACAGCTGCCCTAGTTCCTACCTCATATTCAGTATTTGAAGACAGAAAAAGCAAAAATTTCTGATGAAGTTCTCTTCCCCTTTTTTAAGTTAAAAAAGCCCAGACCTTCTGTGCCATCCTACCAACTTTAAAGGATCACTGTGTTAAACCGCTCCTATTCAAAGGCAGCATTATTTATAATAGTTCATCTTCTGTCTTCAAACGTCCCAAGGAAGGGTTTTAATAAGCACAACATGCATAACTTCAAAAACAATGTTTGAAAGAGATGAGAAGACCTGTTAAAAACATATCCAGCAATTTAAGTTTAAGGATATGCTCAACTAAAAACAGGGCCAATGATTTCAATAGGAATAAAATATAAGACGTAGTGAAGGGACAGGGTAAAATACACATAAGTGCATTTCGTGACTAGGGTGATGGGACTCCTCTTCGCAGGGTGCATCTGGAGGAGACCGCTTCCATTTAGTTGAAATTATCTGCTTCTTGCAAAATCAGCTTCCTTCTTTCCATTCCCAGAAGAGCTACAAAAAGCTACATCTGAAACAAAATCTAATCATCCCTGCTTTTCCTACAATGTGGGATTTCTGCAATGCAAACATGCATAAAAACAGAGTTCCATGAAACACCCACTTTGACTTCTCACAGCACATCTCTTCCACTCTGTGAGAGGGGGTCAGAACCACAGCATGGTAACTGGCAAGAGCATTTCTTAATGTGAAAATGAACAGCCTTCACTTGATTTAATGCTTTAATCCCCAAAGTGTTAAACTCGGTAACATCCTGGCTTAACGCCAAATTGAAAGCTGCTTAATACATTATTTCCTATTTCATAATAAAAAAGCACTAATTATTGAGAAAAAAACATTAAGAAAAATATTGTTAATACCCACTGAAGTCTTTGATAAGGCGATTTTAGATTAGAAAAACTCTAGAGCTTATCTAATCTGCTTTTCAACCTGAATTTGCCTATACATGTACATAGCTAGCTGCATGAGTACTCCCACCAAATTCAAAGAAAACTGAGCAAATATTTAAGGACTCTGCCAAGTAAAGAATATAGATGGATACTTATAAAGCCCATTTACTTTTCTGGATAGTTCACTGGTCCTGGGCACATATGCAGTATATACTGGCTGAGAATTTGAGAACTGGCAATGAAAAATATGACTATTTGTGATGCACTGGCCCTGATCAACTTAATTATGAGCCTGCAAGAAGTGTCACAGATTTCAGAACAACTACTGAGTTTAACTATATTCAACATTTGTAGGACCAGGATGAGCAGGAGTAACAACAGTTTTAATGCAACATATACCAACCCATCTAATTCTGAAAGAGACAATGAATTCTGGAATCTCACAAAATTTTAATACTAAGACTAAATTGTACCTTTCAATTATGTAAGATCCATGGACTTACTCAGTTTAAAACAAAAACTAACCCATACTATATCATAGCAGATACTGTACTGCAAATTCAACTTTTGTATTTTTAATTTAGATCTTGAAACATTATGATAGGTATATTGCAATCAATTGTAGTCACGTACCACTTTGAGCTTACCTTGATTGGCACAAACTCCTTAATAAAGTTGACTCCATGTTCTTCCATGTATTCACCAATTTTGTTTGCAATATCCTGGTCAAATCCTCTTAAGAGAATGGATCTCACCATCACAGTGACATCTAATCCAAGACCTGCAAGAAATCCTGCACATTCCAAGGCAACGTAGGAAGCTCCAACCACCAGGGTTTTCCCTGGACAGTAAGGCAGAGAGAAAAGATCATCACTGGAAAAAAAACAAGAGGGGAAAAAAGAAAAAAATGTTAGAGACAACCAGAAGAATGTATTGTGCTTTATATTTATCTGATTTCTTCTGTAGGAATAGGACTTTATTCCTAATTCCTCCTCACTAAAAAAATCCAACAACTTGGATTTTGGAAATTTTTGGAAATTCAACTGGAATACAAGATCAGTACACAACAGACTAAAACGTTCTAATTAGGAGGCCACACACAAAAAAAAGAGTATGAAAATTCTGAATCATCACAAAATTTTTAGGGTTTTTTCTTTTTACAGAAACTTAAGAGAAATGGTTAAAAACAGAAGGTTGGGTTTTTTCCCTCTGAATGTTGCTTCCAATATTTTGTTGCAAATTTTAGCTCCTGAGAGCTAAAAAGAAGAGGAAGGAGTTCATCTTTAAGATAAAAATACCATCTTCACTTCTTTGAAGACTTATCCTTGTGCTAAAGCATTATACACAGCGCCAAATAAACACAGACAATAAAAGAAATTAATGCAAACCACAGTGACAGGCACAGATAACAGTACAAAATTATGGAAACCGTGCTTATTTCCCTGCTTTCCATTTCTTTCAACTGCTACATCAGTTACACCACACTCTGGACCTAGAGTATAAAACCAGGGCTTCTCAAGGAAGCAGGGACTCATGGAGGCATCACGCTTGCTCAGCTGAGACTTAGGCAGAGTTTGGCAACGCAACTCTCCAAAGATTTAAATCCAAAATAAGTGTCTCTTTCTCAGCAAACAACAGCAAAGGCTAAACAAAGATGCTTTCCACAAACACTGTGGTGGAGTAAAATGTGATTGTGTAATTAAAGGCTACATCATAGGTCCTATCCCCCAGGGAACCCAGAGAAGGTTACACAAACAGTCTCAATCCAACCATCTGCCAACACTGGCACTCCTGACTCTTCCACCTTAATGTCATTTTAAAGCACCACTTTACAGGCTATATTATCTGTTACCCTTAATTTCACTACTACTTATTAGAAGGGAAACATACAACATGGTGCTTTGGCTTCACAGGAATTATGCCAGTTATTTATTTCATCGCTATAGGTTTTCAAGCCTGAAATTCCAACCTCTGTTTCTACACTAAGTAATTTAAAAGTTAGTCTGATATTAAAACACATTTCATCTGCATATCACTTTTTTTGTCAAAACTGTGCTAGAATTGCTTGGTCTTATCAATTAACCAGACATTTGAAATAGGACTTCCCGAAAGTTGAATTCACTTCACTGAGTATTTGGAAAAAAATTGGCTTGAGTTTCAAGACTGCCCCCATGCATGAAGACAGATACATTTCAACCAGCTTCACAACATCAACTGCTTTGCAACTCCCCCTTTCCTTGACATTTGAGCAGGGAGGTTTCTGCCAAGCAGACCACTCTCCATTACCGAAAAAACTTTAGTACATGAACCAAAAGACCATAAGGAAGAGAGGAAGTGGGTGTGCTGGTAACTAGGGCAGAGCTGATGAATTAATTTTATGACAGACACGCACATGATTTACAGTATTCTCAGTTACTGCTGTTATCAGTCAGAAACAGAACCATCCTAGCCAGCTGCCCACAGCCCTGTGATGTCTACTAGACACCAATGGTTTTGGCACCTTGACATCTGTCTATAGCTGTTCTCCTCCACTTACTTGACTCTAACAAAAAGTTACACAGGAAAGAAAACCAGCAACCAAGCAGCCCTGCTCATGCTTCACCACTCTCTCTTACATGTGAAGCATTTACACACGGTAAATGACTTCATATCCTGCTCTGGTTTTACCTGCTAATGCAGTATTCCTTGTCTCCAGGTATACCCAGGTAGCGTGGCCGTTCACCAGTGGCAATGAGAAATCTCTCAGCCGTGTACAGCTTCTCAACTCCTCTTTTATTTGTTGCCTGAGGACAAAGTATTAGTCCAAAGTGAATATTTCGCAGTCCCGCCAAGGGAAAAATTATTCTATTTGAAAATCATCCCTATTCAGAGAGTACTACAGGAAGACCCAGCAAACGTGGCTAGGGAGTACCTTAACTGTGTGTGGCCCGACAAATTCTCCATATGCATTCTCATATGTGACTTTCTTCTCTCTCAGTGCAACCCGATAGCCCCAGTTCAGTGAACCAATGTAATTCTGAATAGCTTCTGTCATAGTCATCCAGCTGTGTTTGACTGTTAGAAATAAAAGAAAAAGGTTCATCTGTCAGTCTGTGAGTTCTTTTTCCATAGCCAACCTTGTGTTCTCAGACAGATTTTTTTTCACGACGCAGTCACTTTTGCCTTATCCCTTTTTTATTCCAGGGTAACTCTACTGAAATTCAAAGAATCACGTCAGCACAGACAACACAAGAGGTCACAGGGGAACATATATGACTTAAAACATGGAAAATTTCGACTTACTGCATTGTCAAGTTTTCTATTGACACAGGGCTGTGAGCAGGTGACATTGCTCAACAAATGAAGACTATGTATCTCTGAGAGGTGCCTCTGCATGTTTCCCACTACAGGATTACAACCTAAATAAATCCCAATCCTATAACCATGCACATTAGAGCTAGTATAAAGTAAAATTCATCTTCTTATGTAGTAGCGATAGAGATTGAGGCAAAGGAAATCCTTGCTTATAATTATGAGTAAGTTTCTAACAGGGCACATTCTGGGGTATTCCCTTAGACGTTGTGTTACATTCAGAAATGGAGTAGTACCTTATTGCTTTCATTCACACAGTGATCTTATTAAATACTAACATGATCAGAAGCTATTAATAAACAGATCAGACACTGCAAGGCAATAAGCCCCATGGCTTTAGACTTGAAAAGCACTTAAGTTTATGTGTAATCTCTCTGAAGTTGCCTCACATGCTGAAGCGCAACAAGCGCTTGACTGCGAAAAGAACCTCTGGATTTTCAGCACAAATGAGACACCTGAAAATATATGTTCTTCTTTACCTTCTTCTGTAAACTGCCATCCAAATTTACGTGAATCTTGCAAGGCTTGTCCCAGTAAAGCTGCCTGGTGCATCAGTTTTTTAGGTATACAGCCCACATTTACACATGTTCCTCCAAGACCTGAGAGAAAGGAACAGAACGTGTTTTTCACATCAGTGTGGCTGATCTCAAAGGAGAATCAGTCTCTCTGAGTAAAGCTCCTTTATAACAAGTTTGCAACAAAGAGAAATTTACCCCACGAGTTTCCCAGAGGTGTAGGCAAGACAAAGTCCAGCACCAGCACTTTCTTTTCATATTTGGCAGCCTCCTGCAAAACAAATTAAATAAGACATGTATCTAAATATTAGAGGTTAAATTTGGAGTAGATGATAACATCATGCATTGCTGAAAAGCTTTGTGACTTTTAATTAAGTAATAATGAATAATTTGCAAGGGAACAGCCAGACAGTCATTAATCTTCTGAATTAATCTGTGCACTCAGTAGGAAAAAAAAGATGAAGGGGAACAAATGGGCATTCATCCTGCTACACAACAGCATGGCACCAGTTGATACGCAGAAGACTCTGGGAGTCAAACCTACTCCTCCATCCTCCATCCTGTCAGTTTGTTCACACTATTTCCCAAAATGCCATTTACTTTTAACATATTTAATAAATTCCTCATTCATCCAGTTTTCCCTTCAAAGATGGCTTCTCAAACATCTGTTTGAAACCACATCACGCAGTGACATAAGCAGGCACGTGGCCAAGTATTACAACAGTGCTTATCCAATCTTTCCTCTTGTAGTAGAAAGGAACACTCGATTTGGAGTACAAACTGTAGTTGTCAGGATCGGCTCTTGTTCTTCAAGCTAGTCAACCTGCAGCACGTTGACTTTACTGTCAGGATGTGCAGCTGTCATCCAGACTAGCATAAAGTGATTGTTTATTTCATGGTATTTCCTCTGAGAAGTTTCATTAGTGAATCTACAAGCAATGTGAGTAAATGATACTGAGAACTGGAATTTCCATACTGATTCCATTATTCCCTTTGTGCTTTTTAAGAAAAATGCAAAAATCAATGGTGATAACTGGTACCAGAGAAAAACACAGGTAAGCACTACATAGCTGAGAAACGAGACAGATTCCCCACGAGATGCAGCAAAGTAACTTTGATACTTGGAGTAACAACAACTGTTCTGCATCACATGATGAGTTCTTAGACATATAAGCAATAACAACTACAGGCACAGGATATTACCCTAAGGCCTTGGGTTTGGTTTGGGAGCAGCTAGACAGCCTTCAGCACTATGTTACCAGTAATACTTGTTAATCCAAATAGTTGACAATCATAATTTAAATTTTAAATGTATCTTACTTCATGCAAAATACAAATCATATTTCAAACAACGCAGGCTGTAGACACCTTTGGAAAATATTCATGTACTGGATTTCTGCTTCCGATTAAAGGTAAAGGTTGGCCAAGAAACTCACACCTACCCATTAATAGCACCTCTGAGAAAGTTCCTCAGAGAGGTGCTTAGGGACTGAGACGTGTTATTAATGCTCCTTTATAATGACAACTCTTATACATAGCTTGAAAGAGCTATACCAGTGTTAGCTAACTAGAATGCACGGATCCCCAAGCTCATGCTCAGCTATACGCTCACATAATACAGCGCAGCATTGCGTCGCCACCTCAGGAGAGCTCACGAACAGATATAAGCGCTTCCACAGAGCGATATGCCCACAGCAACAAAACCTGCCCCGTAGGCTTCGAAACCTCACTGGGTTCAGTGCAGCGCCGCATGAACACAACAAGGTTGCTTAGGGCTGGAGCTGTGCTGTGTGAACTGATAGCGGTGGCCTGGCGCTTTGGTCTGGGTCTGCGGTTGGGTTGCAGAGAGTCAGCTTGGCAGCGTTTGCACTCATCCTGGAGACAGGCCTCCAAAATAACAAGCTCTGAGCGGAACGTAGAGAGGAAAGGGAAGACGTGCGTACAATGCTGCACGTGTCATAGTGAAAAGCACACATTTAATCAACCTAGTTAAACTGCTGCAAACCTGAGTGTAGGTATCTGGAACGCGGTATAAGAGATGTGTAGTTGTTGGGGTTTTTTTTCCTTTTGTTTTGCTTGGCTTTTTAAAGCACTGTATGTTAATTCACTAAAAGAACCTGAATAATCTAAGTCAGAAGTTTATGCATGTAAAGCAGCTTCACATCAGCTTCATGAAACTGATTTGAAATACGCACATTACTACTGATAGCGATGTTGGCTTTATTGATATACCATCTTCTGCTCCACTCTACAATCACTTGAGAACACTAAGAAGCAATATACTTTATACACTGAGTTGAAGGAACAAGGTAATTTATCTTCCTAGCTACATACCTTTTCTGTCCCACAGCTGAAAAATGATGCAATAAACATCACTGCTGTAGCTTCACAACCTAGCATATGTATACAACAAAGGAGAGCAGTCTGCTTATGGAAATTTCAACAGATGGCTTTTTATTACTGCAAACTGGTTTTGCATTACTGCAAGCTCCCTTTTACTCTTATTACTCTCTTCTGTCCTAAAACATCCCCATCTTCTAAAAACCAGTGTTTGCTGCTTTTGCAGGTTCTCAGAATTTTTATAGCTCTTATCTCCCATCCTCCGCCATGACAATAGTGCCCCTATTAATGGGAAAGCAGTAAACTACTGCAATAGGTTATGGATGGACATAAAGCACATTACAATCCACACACTGCATTCTTACATTATAACAGAAGTTCTTCTAAGTGACCAAGGTTTAGTGTGAATCTAATGCTACACTGAAATATTTCCTCCTATTTTTCCTTCACTTCTCAATGACCTCATTCACTTCTTGAGAGCAAAAGAAATGTCTCCCGTCCGGAAGAATAATCCAGCTCCAGGTGTTGAGCAACAAAATAGCTTTATTTCTCAGTTCACTTCTAAATAGTCAATTCTACCACAGTGAGAAGAGGCAAAATGTGCCTAACTACTGATGTAAAGGAGAGTTACTAACTTAACATTATATTTCAGCAAGTTTCAAATATTTGGGACAATGACAACTCTAAGAGTTCGTATATTCTGCACCAGTATGGATTCCTTTAATTAATATTAGATAGACTGCTAAAAGCAGAATCCTAACAAAAAAAAAAATTATTTGGCTACTGGTAAGAAGTACCAGACCCTAGAAATGAAGGGTGAGATCCTAACTCTGCCTTAGTATAGGCAACATCTCCATTTATGCAACTATATAAGCTCAATATCATGACATCTCCCCCATTGTCAAGAATTAAAATAACATACACAACTATTTCTGAACAGATACTATTTTCAGATAAAACTAGAAACCTCCTGCTGTTAATTTTGAATAGTTTTAAAAACTTTTTCAATTATGAGTTGCATTTTGATTCAACTACTAATAAACACTTTTGAGATATCTACCTGCCGTTTTCCAACAGCATCGTCTCCCATTAGTGGGGACCAAGTTTCATTCTATTAAGAAACCTACTATGGCATTTTTATATTTTTCTTCTTCAGAATATAAGGAAAAGAATATTGTATAACTGTGGCTAACCTCTAAAGAAATTCCACTGATCGGGCAGAAATGTTATGCCCCTACAGTGTTAAACATACCTAGATCCAAGACATTGAGGATGTCACCCACCTACTTACAAGGAAAGTATAAATCTGTATTTTCCCCCTCATACCTTGGCAGCTGCCAGACCACCTGAGCCTCCACCAATGACAATGAGATCATAGTCATAGGAATGCAGCACCGATGTGTGTCCGTTCATTTCCAGCAGTTTCTGAGGCTTGTCTTCCTTATGTGCCTGAACAGAGAAAACAAAAAGGATTAGGGAACGTTGAAACATTACCCACAGTGCTCAAAAATTAGTATTTTCAGCAGCAAATATTGTGATAAGGGAACATAAGTGCATCTGAATTGTCTTAGTTCTGCTTTTAATTATTTTTTTAAAATTTCATCTTCTTAATCCATCCTTGAGTAGCTCAATACCTATTAGATACTGAACTATGAATTTTCTTGTTCGTTGGAGCCCTGGGTTTCCTTGCAGAGCTGTTTTCCACATCAACACAACTCCAGTGCCTCCTCATACTGTGTACTCCAGGATGAGATACATACCTGCTGACACAGGCATTCCATTAATTTATTCTATTCTTTTCATCTGCCCTGGACTTCCTTAATTAGTGTTTTTCCCCTCCTCCTGCATATATTAGGAGGAAAATACAACAATCATATACAACTTTGTAATAATCTGCAATTACCAGCCTTACCGACTGGATGAACAGAACTGAATGACAAAAACAATTTCTAAGAATTACATTTTTGTAACATGCCTGTGTTTATTATTGCTTTGGTTTAGCATTGTAACTAACTTTGGTATCAAATGGATCAAGTGTGATCACTACAGTTACAAGAGAGATTCTTTGGGTTTTTTTAATCAGCTGACTACTACCACAGAAAAACAGCCCACAAGTCCTAAAAAGCATTTTGACAGCTGTATGCCACATAACATTGCATTGTCTTCATATACTTTTTCTAAAATGAGCTTTTGTACTTGATTTGCGAAGCTCAAATTTATCAGCGCTTTGGACCTTTGAGCCTTTGGAGTTGCTGGCAAAATTCTCAATGCCTCTCAAATTACAGGACAAGATCTGGAGTGTTTAAAAAATCAGATTCTTCAGCTGATGTAAACCAGCAAGTACCAGTTAAAGTTACGACAAAACTTTTAAGACCAAAAAAGTAAATGAAGAAACCCGTACTTAGTCATTTTACAAATCTGCTCGCTTTTATTCAGGTGTTTCTATCAGCCTAACTAGGTAGGACTTGATTCAGTACTACTGCAATAGTCGTGGTAAATGAAAGAAAAAACCCACAAAGTCTCCCTTCTCTTTTCATCTTAATTTTGTTTTGCATTAAGCAGCCTTCTGTGCTCTACCCATTCTACTGTCGCCTTCCTCTGACATTAGATTATTCCTTCTCTGTAAGTATAACTCTGGGTACCCCAGAGACTGCTGCCAGCTCAGCCACATCACTAGCAGAAATCCCCTATCCCTCCAGCAAATTACACAGCAGCATCAGCAGAAATTCAGACTGTGCATCCGCCCGTAGAAAGTTATATTTTAATAGTATTTCATAACCCTGGGTAGCATGTTAACAGTAGAAACAAAACCTAGAAAACACTTGTGGCTGTTGTGAAGACATCCAAAAATATCTCATCTTCCTTCCTTTTCTATTCCTGCTCCGCCACCCCAATATATACCCCTACCACTGAATTTACTTTGTGCTCAGTTCCCCTTTTTTCTATTTTTCTAACACGGCCACTGGCCAGGCTCAAACTTCCCACTGCAATCAGAGCAAGAGTAAAAAAAATGAGCATATATTGTATTATGATATGCAGTTTCACTTTATTTGTATTTAGGGACATAAAATTAGAGAAAGTGTGCCATTCTTTTCCCAAGCACACCACCTCGTTTGCTCAGTGGCAAGAGGATGGTGTAAAGCTTAAGGGTCGATTAACTCCCACACAGTCATCAGACCCAACTAGCAAGAACGGTATCTTTATGATGCATATAAAGAAACCACAATACTTACTCATGAAATTTGCTCAGATCACTACTATCACGCTACTTTTTTTTTCTTTTTAAGAAAAATGCTTTAGGTTTTCACATGGATTAAGAAACTTCAGCTTTTATTCCCTACTGTTTGGTTCATTTTCCCTTAGTTCTTCATAATCATTCTCATTCAAACATATTAAAAGTTTAGATCAGACAAAGTAGATTACAACCTTCCCCGTGGAAACCACCTCCTAGAGCTTCGCTCCAAAGTGGAGAGGATCTTGACAAGCTCCGCTTCCTATTTACTGGGGGGACTTGTTCATGACTATGACCCCATCCTGCAAAAGGATCTCCTCCATTCTTCTCCCAAGAACTGCATTTTTTTTAAAAAAAAGCCTGCATTCTCATTATTTTTCATTGTCAAAACTAAATTATAGACTTCAAGATGTATCTCCCCCTACCTTTAAAGTTTTCTCATGCTCTCCTAATTGCTTCTCCTGTGCAAAACCCACAGGCTGTGAAGTTTCTGCCGTTACTTCGCGCTGCCCTTCTTGCAGCTTCTGTGCTCCCTCTGTGAAATAAAGGATAAAATAATGTAGTGGCTGGAGAGACGTCCTTTATGAAGCCTGTGCTCCTCAAGCGAAACTGTCTGGGGGAGTGGCCTGGCAGCTTCATCGCTTCCTCATCAGCGGCATGCCTGGCCCAGGGGAGCATTTCCCAAGGCGACCGATGGATGAGTCATTTGCAACGTTAGGATGACTTGCTATATTTTTCTCTTTAATAAAAGCCCATATGAGATTTGGATGGGATTTCAGTAAGTTTTGCCAATCCAACAGCACGCTTGAAACAAAGCAAGGAAATAGGATTTGCTGTGGTTAAGTCAGAAACTTCAGTCTTAAAGGAAAATTATGATTTTTACCTTTCTTGCCCAGAAAGTGGTTTTCTTATGCTGATGTGCTGTCATTTTTTTCAGTCTCGTACTTTTAAAACTGAATTAAAAGTTTTTATTTTGCTCCTGCAGTTAGTTCCCCGGAAAAATCTTTCAGTTCAATTTATTGATATAATTGCTTTTTCTATGCAATTCCGCCCCCCCCCAAATTTCTGCCATAGTATTGCTCATACTATGAAATCCTCCAAATAAATGTATTCAAAAGTCTGCCAAAGATCTGCTTGACCATTGGTCGTAACTGATTTTATATATATATTGGAGATATATGTATCTCCAACAGAAAAGGTTAAGCATACTAGTGGAAAGGAAAAAAAATCACCTTTACACATGGTGATACTTTATTTTATATGGCATGGAAAAGAAAAGAAAAAAGAAGAACATCTAATACTTGATTGGAATCCATTATCAGCTCTGCCTTCCTCCACATAACTCTGCATTACATTAAGCTTAATTTCCAATAAATGGGTCAGTGCACACCTGTTTGTACTTAATCATATACATACTTTGCACTGCACAACCAGCATTAATTAGCAAACTCTGACACATGCACATACTTAGACAAACAGCCATACTGAATGCGTATACATTCCTGGGGCACTGAACCCACAAACCTGAACAGCATTCACACACACATACACACACACATGCAGAAAGGCAGTCATTCAAAATTGGTAAGTAATCTCATCATCTCAGTTTTCTTCTCTGAAACTTGGTGATAAAATTTATCTCACAAAGGTACTGGGAAGAGTGCTTTACTGATGTTGCTGAAGGGGTTTAAAGATCAGAATCGTTATGTAATAGTTAATAGCAATATTAGCGATTGATAACACTTGGCCTATACTCGCTTGGGGAAGAAATGCAGGAATTCATCTGTGTGTATACACACACACACCTGGGAAAAGCAAGAATATGGGTTTTGAACAGTGGTCATGATCTGCACAAAGGCGAAATTTTTCTTCAATAGATTATCATCAAAGCTACAGTCCTGTGGGTACCTGAGGCAACTAAAACCTTACATTTTAGTCCTATAACAAGTTTGGACAACCTCAGGAATGTTCACATAAAACTGTATCTTCACTGAGATAAAAATCTAGTCATTAGACAACACAGGCATTTATATAAATGTCTCTTAATTATTTTCAGGTAGGTCTGTGCTAGAGGTGCCTAGCTTTAGCAACATCCCCAAAACCCAAAGGCACCCATAACCTCTGGCAGGGACTTGAAAGAGTTTGCATGCAGGCGGCTGCTGGGGGCCTCTCCCTTGTTGGTTTGGGCAACCTGCCACAGGCAGGATGACGAAGCAGAAAGCACTCCGCACGTCACGTGCTCGTCCTCCATAAAATTCCACCCATTAACGGCAATTACAATAACCCACAGTTCTGGTGGATCGATACTTTCCAGAAATCAATCAGCAGATGCCTTTTTGCAGAGCAAGACCTCTGTGGAGAACCTGGACCACAAATGTCTGGATGATCCTCAGGGACATAGCAGTGAGGACGGCTCTTTTGCCCGTAAGCATCGGGAATCGGCAAGTCTGTAGCAACTCCCAGCCACTGCAGGAACATCCAGTGAGGCTCCCACCCCGCACTACCACTGTCTTGGGTTTTTGTTAGTCCCCACCTAGATGATGGTGGCTGTTGAGTGCTACCTCCCCTATGACCCGCCAAGTGCTCCTTCACATGGGGTGAAGCAGTCTAACAAATCACTACTGTCCAAGGGGGACAAGCCTACTCTCTTCCACCATACCTTTTTTTTCCCTCTTCTTGCTGACAAAATACCCTATCTGCATACTTGGCACCATCTCTGGCAGCCAAGAGACCCTTATGTGAGCTAAATCAACTCACTAGCCTAGCAGAAAACCAACCCAGGAGAAGAAAAGATGTGGACAGTTTCCCACCAGCTAGCTCAGGGAAGGATCCCATGAGCACCACAGCCAGTGCCTGACAGAAGGCGTATCTATCCACGCACACCAGGGTGAAGGAGGAAGAGGCAGCAACATTTCTCTCCCCGGTGGTGGCAAAACTGCCGGTTTTGCTCAGCTGCTTGTTAAACCAGCTAAAAAAACCCCACCATTTTAGCATTTACCTGAATCCATTTCTGAGGCAGACTACACTAAGCCTCACTACCACTTCTTGAGCAGAGAAAAAAACCCAACACAAAACAGTGAAACAACTATGGTATATGGTATAATCCATACCCTTCCTTAATGGGAGTGAGCTTCCTCACAAACCAAAGTCCTCCTTGCTACCAAGGCCTCTGAACTTTCGACTGTCAGTTGTGTAACTTTTGGCTGGGATGAAAAAAGGCACGACTGGTTTCAGAAAGCCTTGACCAGGCGGGAACGGAACCAGCCCAACACAACAGCCCGCACCAGCTTCAATGAGAACTGCTCCAAGATAAGAGCTGCCTCACTCTGCAGAAGCATTCACCCAGGGATCCAACAGGCTACGAAGGCAGGACACAGGGACCCATGGAAAACACCTGCCCTTCAACTACTTGCCATGAAGGTCTGTAAGTGGCAGTTCAAGGGAAAGGTCTTCACTGATGTATCCGGATTTTCTGTGTCACGCAGAAGGACATTATCAACCAGAACGAACTTCACATTTTTGACAAACAATGTAATTTAAAAATAGCTGTCTCTACTCCAGTAGTTCAGAAGATGCCTCTGAATTGGTAACACTTATGAACAAGCATGTAACTTGCTGCACAGCCTTATCTTCAGGCATCTGAGAAGTACAAGCTATTTCATATCACAATGAACTTTTACATTATGCTCAAGCGAGCTTTTCAGGTGGAGAAACATTCAGCTTTTCCTTCTAGATTTGCTCATTCCTTCCCTTTCAACACAGGTCACTACCTCCTCCGTTGTGTAAACTCAAACATTTGGAAGTGACGGTAACAGAGCCATTATATCATCCAGATTACAACAAGGAAAAAAAAAACGAAGCCTTTAAAATACATTCCTCCAGCCTGGATCATATCACAGATCCACACTGAGAAGCTGCCTTGCAGTCAGCTGAACTGCCAAAACGGCGAAGGAATGGAAACCAGGGGCAGGATGCAGAGAAGGATGAGAACCTCTTAAGCTGCCTTTGCCCATACATCTCAAAACACCCACACTTCCCTGAGGGCCAGGATCAGTGGGTGGAAATGAAAAAATAATACTTAGAAACTGTACTTTGGTGTAAGTTAGACCTTCAACCTACCTCACATGCTTTATTTCACGCCCGGTGAGAGAGACACAGCGCAGCCTTACAGCTAATCACAAGAAGCAACGGAGTTGGCTATTGTAGATGTGTCAGGGCTTGCTTAAATGAGGGCTGCATGTGCTGTGCTCTAGTGATCCTGGCCAAGAACCACTGGTACCTTTGACAGGATAAACTAGCACAGCCCTGTGGCTATTCTCTTTCTCTCCAAATGTTGATTCAGCACTTGGCTGCCCTGTCAGAGGAAGCATAAAGATAGCTTAGAGGTACATTTGCTTCCCCACCTGAACTCAGCCAAAGTCTGAACCCCATAACAAGTCAGCAGTGTTAAGACAGGCCAAGCCAGCATTATTTACACGCACAGAATTCAATGCTCACTGACAAGTGCTCTTAATCAAGAGTGAACCACTGATGCCCCAAGAATGCTGCTTCTGAAGGCTGGCATACGTGAGCCTTGAATCCTGCTGTCTACACACAGGACCAAGATATATGTTACACCCAATTACAAGTATGTCTAGCCTTCTCTCTGAAATTAGCTACTTGTCCTTAACTATGTGTAAAGCACCATGTGTGATCACTGCACAGAAATTATCTATCTAGAGTAAAATCCTTACTTTCCCTCCTAAGTGTCAAATATTAAGCAAACAGAAAGCAGAAGGTGAAAAAACTCTACCTCAGAGCATCTTTTGCACTTACTTAGATATTCAGAAGCTTGCAACAGTTGTATATATTCCATATAGTTTGCAATTTTAGCCTGCAAGGAATAAGTTCCATGGTGAGTGGAACAAACAAAAACACTTCACCAATACCACAAAACCACACATCTTTCCCAGGGCTAAAGGCTGTTTTTTTTCAAAGAATCTCACTGTCTGCATATGCAAGCACCGAGGAAGAAGAAATAAAGACTGAGCTATGCCCTCAGTCCTTAAGCCTGCTTACTCACTTATCTGTTTGGTGCAGTTCAAGTGAAAACCAGAGAACTTCTGGGCATTTCAATAGCTCCTTCACCTGCAGAGTGCACAAACATTAAGAAATGAGACTAAAGGGTGAGATCACTTTCATCCTTTTCTCCCCAGACCACAGGTCTGTTTTCTTATCTGCTGGCTTCCCACACATGCAGTCTTCATGTAGCACAAAGCACCATATGCATAAGCCCAGAAAACAGCCCCGATGATCCTCTCGTTCTGCCAGTGACTTCCTTGACATATTGCTGAGATGTCCAAAAGATGTTTAAGTGTTTGAAATGATTGCAATAGGCAGCATCCCATCAGAAAGTAGATGCACAGCTTTATGTATTTTCTCAGTTTTCTCAGCTTTATGCTCTCTCCATGTCTGACCAAGAAGCCCTTAAAACCATTGGTGAGAGTTACTTCATTAAGTTACTGCATTTTTCTTAGCAATCCTTGACTATCAATATAAACGAGAGCTGATCCAAACCAGCCCTAACTTCACTAAGAGACTTGTGTAATTTGGCTC